ATTCATCATCCAAGGTGAAGTTATGAAAAAAAAAATAGGCAATAAAATATTAAGCTGACAGTCATGATCCAGTTAAACCCTTATGGATGGTGCCACCCCACATTATTTCCCACTGAATATTGTTTTACTCGGAAATGTATCACATTACAGAAGTAATATTTTGTGAATACCTTTTTATGCCAATAGTATAGAAGCTATTTTAGCCAAAGTTTCTAATGCATTATTCAAAACACCTGAGTGTATCTAATTTCATGCTGTGGTAAAGAATGTTTATTGTTCTTAATCCAGTCACTGCAGGAAAGTTTAAGCAGAGAGTTCATTTTATAGCAAATGGAAAAGAGTTAGCCTACCAGCTGCTCTGCAAACATCCTGTCGGACAGTTGGAGACCAGAGAGGAGGAAGAAACAACATACACCTCTCATCCATCCACTTATCAGCCAATGTCTTAACATGTTTGTGTGCGTGGTCAGCAGAATGTCTTCAATTTGAGAGATGAAACTCATGTTTTATGTTGGGCATAAGACACCAGTTGTGTGGGTGGTGATCAAGACTCTCAGAAGCTCTAACCATCTGCCTCTTTCCTTTTCTGCTCATCTTCAGACAATGGGTTCATTCCAGACACACTGCTTGAAGATGTTATGAAAGCGTTGGATCTCGTCTCCGAGCCAGACTAGTAAGTTTGTTTGTGTGTATATGATGTTTTTAATTATAAAACGGAACAGTACAGTCCTGGATGCTGATTGGTTAGTACAGTGTTTAAGCAGTGCTAAAATACACAATATAGTAATCTTCACTGTCTCATAATAATGTTCTAATGTTAATAATGTTTATAATAATGTTCTAATATTTTTAATTCTGAAAGTATTACCTATCTGCAAGGATATGTTAAATTGTCAAAAGTGACCGTACATGTTTCTAAAAGATTTTGATTTCTAATAAATGTTATTGTTGTTTTACTTTATATTCCTCAAAGAATCCTGAAAAAAATGCTTCACTGTTTCCACAAAAAGATTCAGCAACACAACTGTTTTCATTGATAATAATAAGAGCGTAAGAAACGCATTTCAAAAACATAATCTTTCAAAAACAAAATTTTACCAACCGCAAACTTTTTAATGGTAGGGTGTATAATATTTACATTATAATATTTTTATCATGTTTTTATTTTTATTTTTATCATGTTCAGCAAACATTATATCACTTTATTTCTAACACAGCAAAGTGATATTTGTGTTTGTCATAAAGTGATGTGATTGCATGTTAAAACAGCTGTCCTCCCTCTATTTGCTCAATTTGGGTTCACATGCCATTCAAACAGACTCATTGCTCTTGTAGAGCAAAGAAGAGAAATAGAGAGTAAAGTCCCAACCTTCCATCTAAAGCCCTGTTTAAAGCCACTCACCATAGTCCCTTTGAAACCTTCACCCAGTGTTCGAACTATACCGTGGACTTTGGGGGAGCCCACTTGTTTTTCTTTTATAACGGGGGGGGGGGGTTTGGGGGGCC